ATATATGTCTCATCCTCAAGAGTTTCTTGGTGTCCCTAATTCCAAAGGAAAGTCTCTCTATTGACTTAATGTCATAGATAGCTCATCTCATTCTTTTAGCCTCCCTTTGACCTTGTTAGAGTCATTAGGACTTTTATAGAACCTTATCCTTTTGACTTTGTTAAGTCAAGATCTTTAGCACACCTTCTTAGGAATCATACAACTTAGAACATAGGCTTAGAGTTTGTTAACTCTATATGTGTAGCATTGTTATGGGTACTCACTTTTCCCCTTTGACTTTTGTTAAAGTCAAACCCCCTAGTTAGTCTTTCAACTTAGACTTAGAGATTTTGTTAACTCTATATAATTATCATTGTTATGAATGCTTATTCCCCTTGAACCTTGACCATAATCAAGAGTTCTCTCCCTAGTTAGGAGAACTACAGTTGCTCTGATTCTATCCTTGTTAGGATACATAGGCACGAGATGCAACGTCTTGGCGAGCATACTTAGTCCATATACCCATAGGTCTTTACCTTTACCTTAGCACATAACCATTAACAAACAGACATTGACAAAAAAACAACTACCAAATAAGAGGATCATGTAGAGTACTACAGATACTTAAGTTGCTAATACCTCCCCTTAGTATAACCAACTCCCGAACCCCCGATCTCTTAGCTTCGTTGTTACGTAGCGTGCTTAGGGTTTTCTTCGATCTTTACCCTTTCCTTTAGATAAATCAAAGTTCGGTGGTGAATATTAAAATATTTGTGGTTCAAGTTAATTAACAGCTTGATATCAAATTCTCACACAAAGTGTGCAAGAATGTTTGCAGACAAAGTAGTTATATTTCTATAAGATCTTCTCCATATAGTATGATTGATCCAAAGAAATTCTTTGTCTAGATCTCGTGATCTTGATACGAAGGATCTAACTCGCTTCTGTGAGGGCTTTTATATCAAATTTATTGCACAACAATTATTTACATCATTAACGACCTGAATTTTATATCTAAATATGAGTTCTTCGTCTACATAAAGACATATGATAATGCAAATGCAATTCTCAAATTTGTAATAAACTCATTTGTCACTTTCATTCACTTTTTACCCATTCGATATCATTAAGTTATCAAATTTTTCATGTCATTGCTTTGGAGCTTGTTTTGTATCATAAAGAGACTTATCTAACTTACAAGCCTTGTTCTCTTGCCCATGAATCACAAACCCTTCCGAATGGTCCATATAGATTTATTCTTCTAAGTAACCATTTAACAAGGTTGTCTTAACATTCATTTGGTGTACTATAAAATTATGAATATAAGCAATTGAAATCAGTACCCTAATGGAAGTAAGTCTAGTGACTGAAGAAATGTATCGAAGAAATCTATATTTTCTCTTTGCCTAAAACCGTTGGCTACAAGGTGAACCTTGTACTTATCAGCTGTTCCATCAGGTTTTAGTTTCCTTTTCAAAACTTATTTACAACCTATTTATTTTCAATCAAGAGGCAAGTCTACTAAGTGTCAAGTCCTGATAGATTCTAGACAATGTATCTCATTGTTAATAGTTTCTTGCCACATATCTGCATCCAGAGATGACAAGACTTCTTGAAGATTTATTGGATTTTCTTCTACTGTATATACCACATAATTAGGCCCATATTATTTTTCAACTCTTACTCGTTTACTTAGTTAAAGTTATGTTTCTACTTCGTCGTTGCTTTCGATGCTTCTTATCGCACGAATGTGACTCGATTTAGTGCCCCCACTATTTCTCGATTTGAAAGGGATTTTTTCTTCATAGAATTAAACATCATTAGATTTTATGATAACTTTAGCTTTTAGGTCATAAAACCTATATTCCTTAATGTTTGTTGCATACCCAATGAATAAACATTCATAGGCTTTACTAGCGAGTTAACTCTTCTCGGATCTAGAATTCGAACATAAGCCATACATCCCCAAGCTCTAAAGTAAGACAAGTTTGGTTGTCTTTTCTTCAATATCACATAATGAGAGATCTTATCTTTAGATTTGGGAACTTTATTTATGACATAACAAACAATCAATAAAATGTCCCCATACCAGTGTGATGCAGCACCAGAATTCAACATAATAGTAATAACTAGTTTAGTAAGAGTTACATTCTTTCTATCTACTTTACTATTCATTTAAGGATAATATGGTGCAGTGTTTCGTGTACAATTCAATGTTGTTTATAAAATTCATTAAATAAATTGAAATAATATCCAATTCCCCTATCACTACAAATTATGTTAATCTTGTTACTAAACTGAATTTCAATTTCATTCACAAAAGTCTTGAACATAAAAATTTCACAAAACTATAATTTTTAATTATTTTGTATAAATCTACCCCGATAGGCTGACTAAGCCCTACCTTAGTCAGAAGAAAACCAAAAACAAGATTCTTTATAATCTCAAGAATATGCATGACATCCTTCAGGATTGAAGTCTTTTCAGATGTGTAATTCAACTTCACTTCTCTAATATCATTAACATTAGTGGCATGAGCAACTCTCAGCAACACTTTCCTATTCGTGTATGTTTTGAATATTTCACGATCATAATAGACACGATGAGAAGATCCAATGTCTATCCCGCAGCCATCAGATCTACCAATCATATTGATTTCAATTATCATTGCAACAAATTTATTATCAGTCAGGTTAACCTATGCATTATAGCCAATTGCAGGTTTAGGTCTGCTCTTACTTCTCTTAGCCATCTGATTCAAATATCCACAATTAAAATAGAAGAACATCAGAGCATCATTTCTTTGAGATAGTGGTTGCTTCCTAGCAATCGGAGCAGATGGGGCCCTAGAGGAATTCTCATTCTTATTTCGGTTCACAACACTGCAATTCTTATTCTTTAATCCTTTTCCAAATGGGTTCAAAACTATACTTAATCTATTTTTATTTTTGTGAAACAACTAAGACTTTTCTTTTTGACCGTGTCTCTGAGATTCTTCTTCAACTCGAAGGCGAATAATCAGACTCTCAATTAAAAAAAATTTTGTCTTGTGGTGAAGCAAATTTTTTTAAAAATATTTAATTTGTGGAGCAATTTGTAAAAATAATTTGAAATTGTTCATCTAAACACATATCTTTTGTGTTGGTCTTATAAGCAATCTTTTTGATGTTCGTAACATTGAGCTTCCATGGACCTTACATTTATACCATCTGATACTTTAGGTAGCGACTAACAACATACTTCTTTGTTTTAGCTTCTTTAGTATCATATTTATTTTGCAGAGTTTCTCATACCTATATAGTAGTCTTGCAGTTCTTGTAGTCATACAGATCGTTCAGAATGTGATTTTTGCAAAGATAATCATTATCTTTCTAGATGGATATTTCTTTTCTGAGTTGTAAATCATATGCTTTAGCTTTTGCAGCAAAGTATAATTAAGGCGAGTTAACAGTTCTGTCAGAACTCACAGTTTTGATACCATTAGTTTGTTCAGTTGATCCAGAAGGAACAACAGGAATGTACTCAGTCAAAATATTGGCAACCTTCTTTGAGGTTAAGAAAATTTTTATTTTATCTTACCAATGTTTGATGTGAGTACCCTCAAACTTAAATGGTTTGTCAGAGACGGCGATTGTAGAATTTCCAATAACTTCTTCAGTACCCATGGTAGTTTTTCAAATGTCTTAAAATTGTTGTTATTAAATTTTTAAAAATAGTCAGGGAAGAAGTTACCGGGATGAATCGCATAATAGTTCGTGCTCTTTAAGACGTTTCACGATACTGTCTAAAATTATACAAAAAAGTCGAACTAACGCGGCGCCCCAAGGATAAAACAGTTCAGTTGTATAATGTATGTTTACTACTTGCACGATAGTTAATCGATCTAGAAATACACCCTATGATGATGCAAAGACCATTCGAATATGGTATAAATACCACTCGTAGTATCTGGTATAACGACCTGTCATAATAACTTAAACCAAAAGAGATTCCAATAATTCTCCAAAGAGAATTGAATAATGGTCATTTGGCCACTCAAAATGATTTCTCATACAAATAGAACTTTGAATAATTCTCTAAAGAGAATTCAAGAAAATACTCGAAAAAATCAACGAGTAAAAAGAAAAGGGGAGAAGTTTACGCTTCAAAAATTCGAAAGACGGAGAGTTATAAAAGTGAGGAAGGAAAAATTCAACACAAAAAAGTTTTTTTTTGTGTATTTTAAAATAAAATAAAGTAGTTCTTTATATAATAAAATGAGTTGGCTAAAATATCTCACATAAGCAATGTAAGATTAAAGAATTTTTTTCAATTAATACACAATATAAAATTTAAAAAATTGTTCAAATTCATCTTTCTATATTAAAATATTGACGTAATGTTCCAAAAAAGAAGAAAATGTATTTAGGTTAATATTGATTATTAAAATCTACAACTTTTTTCATGCAATGTCATAAGATTGGTCATAGCTTTTCACCATGTAAGCTTTTTAAAGTGATCCAAGAGAAAATAGTCATTCATGAGAAGCGTGTTGATAATAATAATCTCCTTTTAAGATTGTGACTTCTATTGAATTGAAAATCATTGTTGATGAGGTTGTTAATATTGATATCTTACATCAAGAAGAAACGGGTGCTCAAATGATTGAAGCAATTAGTCATCTCCTATAAATTTACAATAATAAAAAGAATTAATAGGTTAATAGAGATCTGAGAAAATCTCTCTCTGTAATGAAGATTTAGAACGGAGATAGTGAATAAATTCTGAGACAGAGATGGAGAAGCATCTCCAGCCGCACCATGACCCGAATGACAATAACAGGAAAATAAAAACCGAAATTATGTAACAACAAAATATAAATTTGTTATAGTTACATTTCTTTTTCTTTTTTGAACAATAATTCAACACTGTTACATCATCTTTAAAGAAACCGATGTAAAAAACTCAAGGAAAATAAAAACACAAACATACTTATGGCATGTTTGTTATGTCTAACAAACAAAACTTAATTCAATTTGGATTCAGTTAAAGTGTACGTGAATACCAATAGCAATAACTAAGATGGTGAGAATACAAAAATATATAATAGCATGAATCAGAATAGAAATTCCACTGGTACTCATGTTACCAAATTCAACAACTCTACTCCTGGCTGGAAACTGGAAGAGCAGCCCTGGTGACAAAACAATGAACAAAGCAACAGCAACGATTACTGGTCCCCAATCAGCTCCCATGATTGAATTTCTAACTTTTGTTGTGAAGTTTGGTAATAAGTAGAGGATGAATTACTTGGTCGTTAAGGAGGTAAAGGATATGCTAAACGTGGTGAGAAAAAAGACAGGTTTACATGAGAAGAAAGGTATGTTGCAATATATTGTAGTGGCCAGTGAGATTGCTTTTATTTGCCAGCCTAAGGAACTGCTTTTCTTTTTCTTTTCTTTTTGTATTCTTAAATAAACTTTTAAAGAACAAAAGTCTTGTTAAGTTAACTCAAACTCATAGTTGGGAACATTCGATTGCTTGCAATAATTATTATTTGAGCACATGATATTTCACTTATTTACTTTTTAACAACTAAAGTTAGTGTCATTAAATTTATAAATAAACAAAAACTTCTAAATAACCATAATTTTTCAAATTAAATTATTCAACCAACAAATTTTATTTAAAAATAATATTGTCTAACTCCTTTAAATTATTTTAAAATAATAAATTAGTCCTTTAAATTTTTATTGTAACGATTTGATCCTTTATCTTAATAAATGTTTGCGTCGTTACCCTTTTTAAAATTTTCTGTTACAAAAACGCATATGTAGCACAAACAGGGCACATGTGACATTTAACTGAGATGACTTGACATTGAAGGTTGTTGAATTTAAATCTGAAAATCTGAAAATCACACATGTTCATCACTTTTACAAATGTTCATCATATTTAACAATATTCATGAGCAAAAATCTGAAAATCACAAAAGCAGTGAAATAAATTGCAAATTATATACTGTTGGACTTGGATTTTCACCCTTAATCCAAATATGCAATCAAATTTATCAAACAAGTTATGGTTCATGAGAATCAGGGAAAAAAGTGGACGAAATATATAATAAAAAGTTGTTCGATCCGACCAAAATACACAATCAAACGCAAAACTAATTACATATTCGTGATCAGCGAGAAAAATCAGTTTAAATGGTATATGAATTTGCAATATATTGTTGAGATTCAGAGTTTTGTCATTTTTGTGTTTATGAACGTATGAAATGTTCATCATATTTAACAATATTTATGAGCAAAAATCTAAAAATCACAAAAGCAATGAAATAGATTACAAATTATATATTGTTGGACTTGGATTTTCACCCTGAATCCAAATATGCAATCAAATTTATCAAACAAGTTATGATTCATGGGAATCAGAGGGAAAAATGGACGAAATACATAATGAAAAATCGTTCGATCCGACCAAAATAAACAATCAAACCCAAAACTAATTACATATTTGTGATGAGTGTGAAATATCAGTTCAAATGGTATATGAGTTTGCAATTTATTATTGAGATTCAGAGTTTTTTCATTTTTTTGTTTATGAGCTCATGTGTGTTCTTGAAATGTATTAAGTTTTAGAGTTTTGAAATTCATAAATACAGGAAACAAGACCAAAGTCAAATCAGCAACTTTCAATGTCAACTCATCTCAGTTAAATGGCACATGTGCTCCGTTTGTGCCACATATGCGTTTTTGTAACGAAAATTTTTAAAATGGACAACGACGCAAACGTTTGTTAACATAGAGGATCAAAGCGTTACAAAAATAACTTAAAGGAATAACTTGTTGTTTTAAAATAACTTAAAGGACCTAGACAATATTTTTGTCTATTTTATTTTATTAAACCACAAAAGTTAGTATTGTTAGAATGTTTAATTTAATTATCATTTCACTTTTTTCTTCTTAAGTACAAACTACCAAGCCATCTAATATAACATTTATCAACAAAACTTCTCGCATTAAAACTATTAATATATAACATATAAAATTATATAAACTAAAGCGGCAACAGAGCCGTAAAGTCGGCAGCAATGGTGGCGTATAACAATGACGAAGGTTCGATGGCAGACAACTGGGGAGGCCAATGTCGAGCAGCAGTGGTGGGTCCAATCTGTTGGCGGAGTTTAGTGGCGATTCAAGTCTGGGGGTCAATGATTCTCGAGAAATAACTCTAATTCAAGCATTTTGTGGGTCTCACTCTTTTCGTTTCAGAGCTAGTCCATTAATTAATGGGTTGTGTTTTTGATCTATTAGTGATTTTATGGATTTTAGAAATTATATATATATATCTTAATTTTTGCTACTAGGATCACAACCTTTTCCCATTGACTTCAATCCTTTTATGGTTAAGAATTGAAGTCAATGGGAAAAGTTTGTGATCCTAGTAGCAAAAATTAAGAGACAAAAGGTAGAAATTCCTTAGAGTTCTTGGAATTTCGAAAAACATTTGGAGGTACCTAAGTGGATTTCGAAGCACTTCTAAATACCTGAGATTTATGTGATTCTCATGTCGAGAGTTGGAGAAAATTTGAAAGACTTGGATAGAAAATGGAGTTTGCTCTTGTGAACTTGCGTGACAATTTGTCTCCTTAAGACTAGTAGTAGCGAGGAAACTATAGTAAATCTTTTGTAACAATTCTTTAAACTATAGTAAATCTAAGAGTCATTATCTCATCTTTTGTAAGGTGTCCAAAATAGGTTGTACATAGTTCTCTAAGGCGATACAATATTTCGTTCAATATATTTTGAGGTCACCCATTTTTTGAAATGTGCGTCTATTATCTAGATTTGTCGCTCATTGTCTATATCACTCCGCCACTTATGAAAATGTGGGGAATGGTGTGTTTCTACCCTATAATGGTGTAGGGGAGGCAAACAAAAAAGGAAGCAACATTCTCTAAAATAATAGGAGAATAACACTTTAATTTTTGGAGAAATATATGATAATTACACTCTTAGATCCTAAGGTTTAGACCCAATCGAATCTATAAATACTTCAACCATTACGTTTAGCAGTACATTTAATTCACTAAGCAAACATAAATTTACATAACTTCTCACCATTACTGTGTGAGCTATCTCTAACACTAGACAACTTTACAACCATCAAACAGTCATACATAGCTAGGGGTTATTGTCATTCATTTTAATTTTAACAAGTATAATAAGGTATAGAATTAGATTCTATCATCTTAGGAAAACAATTGTATTTTCCTTGATATTTATACTTTGAATGTTGCTGAAGGGTTGAAAAAATAAAATAATTGGCACCTTCAAAGGGGCATTCAAAAGCAAAGGGAGACATAGATGGTTAAAGAACCATCTTTGTAGGCTTGTTATACTACTGAAGCCAAAAATGGTGGATGAAAACAAGTGGGTGCAAGTAAAAACATCAAGGTTGAAGTGTGTCTTTGTAATGCCCCGTGTTTTCTTAAATACACAAATCTTTATTAGTTGAGATCAATTGAGTTCTTATATGCTTTAAAAGTTGTTAGTTGGGACAAATAGAGTAATTAGTGAATCCAGATTGACTTAATTATTATTCTTTGAAACTAACCTTTTATTAACTGTTATAAGAATGGACATTTTTGTAACATTAATAATGTGCCAATTACTCTTGTAGAGGAAATATTATAAAGAAATACCACTTAAGATATTTTTTTACTAACTCTTTTATTTCCACTCATTCCTTACCATATTTCTCATTCATTCATTTGTTTCCTTCTTCTTTTGTAACCAAATACACTTGCCATTTGGAATCTATCAGTGAACTAAAAAGAAGAAAAACATAACATAAGAAAGAGAGAGCTTAGAAGAATATAGAAGTGAAAGAAGCTTGGAAGGAAATAGGAGGAAGCTCGAAGAAGAAGTAGAAGCATCAACCAAACCAACTCCATTTCATGATTTGATAACTTCTTAAGGTGGATTCTAGTTAGACTCTTTCTATATAGAAAATAGGGTTTTGGTGTTGATGTTATGTAATGATTGGTAATGGTTCATGATGATATGTTTGTGTGTTTCTACTTTAATCATGGAAACTAATATGAATACATTTTCTACTGATGTTTTTTCATGTTTGTATTGATTCCTTCATGTTATTGAATGTTGTGATAACTTCATGTTGTTGTTGACACATATATGACACACTCCCATATTTTTAAACTTGTAAGATAATTTTTAAAAACCAATTAACATGAAAGTTTAAATTTCATACTGTATAAAAAATTTCTTAGCAAAAACACTTGATAATAAAACAAACGAAATTGCAAAGTATGTAGTTAAAGACTTAAATTACTAATTTATTCTTAATTGACTACTACATCAAGAAAAAAAATCATAACACAGATATGCTAAGAGCTTTAAAAATCCAAAGCTCTAGTGAAATCACCACCACCAATATAATCACCATCATCTTTATCGGTATCTTGAGTATCATCGTCAACCTCTGCCCCGAATGAAACACATTTTTCATTATTAATCAATGTTGGATTATTTGAAGTTCCACTTTCACCTAATTTAACATTGCCACCACCATCACTTTGCACAATATTAGTTACAACAACATCAGCTTCCACAACATTATTAACAATAACATCATCTTACTCAACAGTTACTTTAGTTTGCACATTTTCTTCATTAGGGTCTTCAATTATCCATTCATCATCTTAATGACTATCTTCAAATAAAATAACAACACTATTTAGTTTTTCTTTTCCACTTTTCAACCTAAAATTCTACATGACATAAACCAAATTATTCACCTCTTTTTTATGCAACATATTTCTTCTCTTTGTATGAACATAAAAAGTAAATAAAAATTCAACTCAATGTTTCTAAAAAAATTAAAATCAAGTCTATAAAAAAATAAATAATAATTCATTGCGATTTCAAAGGAACTTCAATTACGTTCAAAATCATAAGAGTTATAAGTTAAGTTTACAACACGAATTGCAAACCTCTTTAATTCTAGAGTCATATCTCCATAGAAATCTCACCCTTTAGTAAGTAACATATCATTCGTAAACTATTTTCTTCCATAAATCATAAATTTTCTAAACTATTTTGTCACATGCAAATTGATACATGTGCATTGGGATCATTGGACTTGATTGGACAATGGTGCATCACCTTTACACAAGATATCATACATGAGAATCATCCAAGTGAAACATATAAAAAAATACTTACAC